TATCCAGGAAGAAAAAATCGCCTCCAGGAAATCATCTGCTCTCCAGGAAGAAAGCATCCCATCGCGAAAGACATCAGCTATCCAGGAAGAAAAAATCGCCTCCAGGAAATCATCTGCTCTCCAGGAAGAAAGTATCCCATCGCGAAAGTCATCAGTTATCCAGGAAGAAAAAATCGCCTCCAGGAAATCATCTGCTCTCCAGGAAGAAAGTATCCCATCGCGAAAGACATCAGCTATCCAGGAAGAAAAAATCGCCTCCAGGAAATCATCTGTTACTCGAAAAATTTCCTCAGAGATGGAGGAAAAGGTTCCATCACGAAAAACCTCAAAAATAGCAAGGGTTGAAGAAACAGACCAAGAAACAACAGAAATTTCCGTTACATCAGCCGAAGAATCACAATCAATGAGAGCGGAAAGAACAAATTTAGCCAAGTTTGCATCTTACATTTCTTGACTTCTTTTTCAAAAACTCAAAATCTTAAATTTCAAAGTATATTTCCTGAATACAACTTGCCTCACTTTTCAAGCTTGTTCTAGATTGAATACTTTCCGAAATTCAAAATTATTGTAAAATTTTGAAATTTTATCTTCCAGCAATATTTGCCTATCTGAAAATGATTTATATATTCTTGAAAGAGCTTATAAGTACCTGAAATATTTCATGATCGATTTATGATCCAACACTCAGTTTATTGAAAAGCTTCGCATGTTACTGTCACTTTTTGCTTATTTTATTTTCTTTTTAAACTGGCAACTATCCTATCTTCTGCCACTGGTTGATGTGGTCTCTTATCACTTTTCTTATCATTTTATTTAGTTGCAAACGATTAGCAAATTTAATTAAAAGGTGTGAAGATTTCATTACTTTATTTATCAGTATGTATTGTAGAAGTGAATCAAGTGAAGCAAAGGATGAACCTGACCTTGAAATGGATGCTAAACAAGCTGTAGTTGAAGCTGGAGTAGCTGAAATTAATGCTGAAGTACCAATTGAAGAGTTGAAAGACGAGGTTTGTTTCGAAGTGATAAACTCTAATTTTTGAAGTGATTAATAAAAACACAGTTCAATTATCTAATTTTTCGGAAAAAACGTTGGACTTGACAAATGACGCATGTAAAAGTATGTTATAGATTATCATTGAAGATATTGAAGATGAAGTAAAAAAAATACCTGAAGAGGAAAAAGATAACAAAGATAAGAAATATGCTGCCGTTGATGAAGTAAACTTCTTACAATAATAAGGGGAGCGAAGAAGATAACTTTGTAGAACGATTAAAGTTTTTGATTTTGATCATTGTTGTGTATTTATCAACATAAATTTTTGAATAGCTTTGTGTAGTGAAGAATTCAAATTTCATCGAAATTAAATTGCAGCGCAAATCTCCGCCACCAGCCAGACAAATTATTTCATCTCCTCCACGCAGGCGTTCGCCATCGCCAATCAGAAAGCGTCAGGAGCGATCACCGTCACCGATAAGGAGAGAAGTAAATCACGAAATTTCATATAAGTCATATGATCAAGTATGTAATCGATTCTAATAGTTTAAATAATTCCATTTAAAGTCTTGATTGTAATTGATTTAACTTCGATTCAATTTGAGTTGGGTAATTCATTTCATTCTAAACAGTCATGTCTACTATAACTACTATTTTATAAAGCTTTATGAATCAAAATGAATAATGAAATAGATTTTTTTCATTAGTAACCGGATTTTTCAGCTTAAAATAATATTGGAATTGAGGTGCAAAAATGCTAGATAATGCTATCATCTGCTTCCTAAGTGCTATTTCGAAGAGCTTTCTTAAGATATGTTAGAATTTCGGTTTAAAATTCTGATCCAAAAATATCTCATCAGGATACGCATCGACAAAGAGGCCCTCCTCCTCGTACGCCAACTTATTTATCATTTTCATCTTATATCCCAGTCGAGAAAACAGCGTACTCTCCAATCAGTCCATGGGTACAAAATGCTGCGCAAAAATATCGGAACGATTACACTGCCGTTTCAACTTACAAGTCTCCATCGATTTACACTTCGATATTTGATGACATTGTCAATTCGGGTTTGTTTTTAATATTTCTTTTTATGTTTAATAAGCCATTTATTTGCAAATAACATAGAGCCGAAATTTAATATTTGAAAATGTCATAATTTTGAAGCGGAGAATAATTAATGGTGATTATTTATAAATTTATGATATTTAGATATATGGTCTTGAATCTATTTTATGAAGAGAAATTTGAAATGTTTCCATTTTCTCTCCATATTGTTACATATTGCAATTTAGAAATTAAGACTTTGCTAAAAATCGAAAACACATTTATAAATGATTTTTTCCAGTTCTTTGACTTACTTTAATAATATTCGGATTGCTAATCAATAAATATTTTCCTTTTTTTATACAGCAATCAATGAGGATAGTCTTCTCATGAGATTTACCTGGTTTTAGCAAAGAAATAATGAAGTTATTGAAATCAATAGAAGATATTTACTGGTTAGCAAGAACCATGAGTATATTCTGCATTTAGACTATAACTTGTACAAGTATCAGTGGAACAATCCAAATTTTAGGTCCATTTTCAAGCGATTTGTACTCAACGAGTCGTCTTCTTGAACGTTCACGTAGTCGCTCTCGAGAGTTAAGAAACGCGCTTCGTTCAAAGCGTTCAACCAGCAATTATTACCGGTACATTAATTTTCTAGACTACAAAAAGTAGAAGGAAAGACTGATATTGTCCTGTCATTTACTGTACGCATATTCCGATGTTATTGGAAGCGTACGTTTAACATATTATTCATCAAAACAATTGTATCAAAAACTAAAACTTTCTTGAAAGTGTGGTGTTGAAATTTAGCTATACTTCGAACTATGCGACACCACCACTTCGAACTCGTGACTACTCGACACCACCGTTTTCATCTGTATACCGCTCTTCTTCACGTTCCGGCTCATTCATTTCCTTCTTGGAATATAGTGGACAGAAACAATATGAGCTTTCAAGGAGTTCGAGCCGCTACTCAGCTCTTGATGGATTAAGCCGAGCAAGGTTTGCTTCCTTCAAATGCAATGCTTCCATAGCCCTCACCAAATTTAAAATAGCAATCACCACTGGAAAAAAAAATTATTTTCTTTTAGCTCACGTTCGAATGTTGATATGTTCTACAACGGGGGACGTTTGTCACGAGTGGATAACTACGTACGTAATTTGAATCGTAAGACAGAATATGGTTTCCCGAG